CAGAACTAATGCTGCTATTAGCAACTTTTTTCAAAACCATAAAGTGAGTAGAGCATTTTGCTCTACTAAAGACAAAGTGGTCGCATAACGAATAAATATTGCCATGAAGGCATTTCCGGTTCCCCTCGGCATAGATCTGTAAGGCAGTTGTGATGGTAATTCGCATGGAAAATTAATGGTGATTCTTTTTGTTTTTGTCCAAATGTATTTTTTGGTTTATAATAATATAATCAGTATATTAGCTTTTTTTTATTTATTGTTATTATTATTGTGTTCATATTCATCGCGTATTTTTGTTTGTTTTGGGTGTTTAATATTGGTCTGTAATATTTTCGTGATCCGTGAACAGATATTCAAAATTATTTCTTTGGAACGAATTTCCTTTTTGGACTGTACAGACTTGGCGGATGGGGCTAGGCGATAAAAAGTGTAAGATTTAATGCAAATAAATAAAGATTTTTCCGTTACAACCGTCTGTTTTTTTGTGTATAAGTACACAACTGTACTTATGTTAATTCTATATAAATAACTTCGTTCCAACAGAAGTTTTCACGACAGTCACGTTTGTTTTTTTCTATAAAAGAGGTTATGCAGCCGAAGCAATCCCGAATTCATCTAGTCAGGATCTGATGATGGAATCCAGGAGAAATATTAAAAAAAAAATATATTTAAAAAATGAACACCCCAATTTACATGCTGCGGACATACTCTAATTTTTTTTTCCAAAAAATAATTGCTCATTTTGTCTGCGTGATTGATATACATACTTCAACAGAATTACAGATTAAAAGCGGCAACAGTTTTTAAGAAAACCTCGGACGGACAGACAGACAAAACTATAAGAATTCTTTAAACGGAAAGACTATGGAACCCTTAAAAAATGGCCAAGTGCGAGTCGGACGCACGCACCGAGGGTTCCGTACAAACCCATATAATACTTGTGAAAAAAAAAATGTACCTAAAAATTTCGGGTTTTCGCATTTTTTCTTTATCTGTGCTATAAGAATTAACTTCGTGCCAAATTTCAAGATTCTAAGCTCACGGAAAGTTATATATAATAGGTTAAGATTTACTTGCGAGTTTCGAAAATTTGCGGCATAAACGGCTACATCTTTTGTTTGCTTTGGCTTACAAGTTTGATTTTTTCACAGCTCCAAAGGACTGTAGACCTGAGTATTTGATATAATTACAGCTTGATACGTCCACGCGCGACGGACAACAAGATGATCCTAATAAGGGTTAGGTTTTTCCTTTCAAAGTACGGAATCCTAAAAATGAGATACAAATTTCGAGGAAGACTTTAGCGCTGAGGTCCTAAAAATACTGACCAAATTTTGAAAAAAAGAAACTGGATTTCTTCCTTAAAAAAATAAGTTTAACTGGATTTTCTCCACTCCTGCGAGTTCCATGTTTGTAGTAGGTATAATATTTTAGATACGTAAATTGTTTTATGCTTACATTAAATGACTTAAAAAACAACAAAGTCAGGGTAGCTAACCACAAATTTGGTGTATTAACGGTAGCTAATGGGTTTATTACAAGAAAACTTATCTTAACTAACTAACTTACAAGAAACTTATCAATATTAGAGAGAGAGAACCAGTTTAAATAAAAACATGTATAAAAAGTAAGCAGCACAAACAACTATAAACCAAACAAAGTAATAATATTGGTCAATCAGGACCCTGCCTCAGCATTATGCTGAGCTGCCGTGACATGTAACTAAACGTGTCACGGCAACGCAGGTATTAAAGGAGAATCATTTAACAGAAGGAGCAACATTTGCATAAAATCATGTCGCTGCCAATACAACATCCACTCACATTTTAATGGCTGTGTCATACAGTATACATACAAAAAAATATTCCAATTCCAGATCGAACTCAGTGACGTGCAATTGGAGAGGCCAATGTCCAGCAGTGGACTAAGATAGGCTGTTGATGATGATGATTCCAAATCCATTACCTAAATCTAAAGAACATTTAAATTAAAAGGACAATGTTTGGAGGTGCCAGCCAATTCAAAGTGAACGGCTACTCGGATTTATCTGAGTTTGTAAGTGTGTCATTGATTCTCAAAGAAACCCGTGAAACATATATAATATACGAAATCTGAAAACATTAACACTACTTTTTTAGTGGTCGTGTTATGAGAAAATAGTTAAACATAATAATATTTCGAAAAAATATTCAAAAGCAATAAGAAATCAACGACAGATGGCTTTACAAAAGTAAAATTCATAGAAATTATAAAACTACTTACTGTTTACGTAAATAGGTTAAATCTATGTCATAGAACCGTAAATGCCGTAAAGTCATGCAAATTATCGATCCCTCTCATAAGTCCGTTTTAATCAATACAAAAGATGCACCGCTCACTACAAATATTCGAGAAATGTTTAAAAATACATTAAAAAGAGCCTCGACAAAATCAAACATGGCTGCGTGCCCAAGTACCGAAATCAAAAATCAATAATGAGAACTTTCTTGTTGACAGTACGTGACTTTTCAACAGACCCTTAATGGTCTCGTATCGTTCTTATTTTGTCAGCGGTTTGTAATGGATGGCGACGTTTAAATAAAGATTATTGGTAGAGCAACCTGCTTTACATTATTTTTAATAATTGATCTGTTCATTCGCTGGTCGCGGGCATAGAGATGAAAAGATGATGTAGCTTGCACACAATTATTTTATTTTCCTTTTCACAATTCAGATCTCAAAAGGTTTGTTTGAGTAATCAGATGAGATGACACTAATTATTTAAAATCTATGCAGGGCCGTAGCTAGGGAGGGTCATAATGTGGCAATGGCCTACCTTAAAATACCAATGCCTTACCTTTAAAAGTATCGACATCGACTAAATATTTTTGAAACGAGGTGGCTGGAGCCTTATAAAGTCATGAAAGCATTCATTATGTACCTATAATTTGATTTGAAGACGGAGACGCCCCTAGCGTCCGATTTAAAAATGCGCCCCAACTAATGCCCTACCTGTAATTATCGCTACCCTATCTTAAATAAAACTCTGGCTACGGCCCCGAATCTATGTAAAATACTGGGACTAACTTTGATTAACAAGAAATAATGATTATGATTGTGCAAGAAACACCTCAAAATTTTCATTTAGATGAGATTTCCGATTGAGAATAGAAAAACTGGCGTATTTTCATTTGTTTTAATATGGCTATTTTCTTACCCCCTAACAAAATTCAACAACCGTTTAACCAAATTACAGTAACTAATAAAATTTTTCATTCGATTTAAGCCAATTAGCGAATTGGCACCAACAAAGTGCCCCCTCAGAAGAACCCGCGATCTGTCGCGCTGACAGGTTTGCCCGCCAAAAGTGACAGATGCGTTACGTTCCAAGCGAGCGTTTATCGCGTTGTGCAAACAACACCAAATGTCGCAGGGCTGATTCTAATTGATAATTATTATTGGCTTATCGATAGCGGTCGGGCGGCACGTTTGTTATATTATAACTCTCTAACGCGATTTCATTCCGTTGATTGTTATTGTTAATACGAATGGAAATATTAATTAAAATAAGCGTTGGGGACAAATTAGAACGTACCTCATACTATCTGTATGTACTCGTCACAGTTCTGATAATTAGGTGCTCTTTTTTATAAATAATCGATTTAATAAAAAGATACTCACATAAAGAGGCAATAGCGTGTCCTATTTTATATCAAACCATGCACCTTTGATAAAACCAATGAAATTATATAAAATTAAAATGAACTTTATTCAAATTGACTTATCAAAAAGTTATTTTAAATCGACAATATTGTTTCCTACCACCCATTCAGGATATCTTATGGCTGATAAATTGACATTGTCAAAGAGAAAGAGCTGACTATGTATTTCCTACCCCAATTCCATTTTTTAGATTTGTCTTTTTTTGTTGATTTTATATAGATGTTTTAGATTGTGATGGGATGTCAGCAGCCAAACTTTATAGCGTGATATTTAAATTTTGACATAAAATTTATAAAACTTATGTCAAAATTGACTTTGGTTGCACCATAGAGCAACACATAAGAGAGTATTCATAGTGACCTTATACTTCTGAATTCATTCTTGCACTCTTATCGGGGGTAGAAATATGCACACAAATGCAATATAATATACATTCTCAAAAAACTAAATTGTAATTACGATACTCACAAATAAATAATTACACAATACACCGCCATATGATTTTTTGATTCACGGATCCGAAATATGTACCGACTAAAATTTATTGTTTTGTCAAACAAATCCGACCATTGAATTTTAACAAAATAATATAAAATTTGTGTTAAATAGAAACAACATGCTAATAATTTTATTTATATGTGGAATTTAACAACATCCTTTTATAAGTCATTAAAGTAACATTTAGGCATTTTTGAGCTCTAACATACACTCGTGCGACTTGGCTCAGTCTAGTGAAATATTCGAGCGCAACTAGTTTTGTTCGTGAACTGGCCCAACAGCAGAGGAAAATCGGCAAAGGGCAAAGCTGTGAATGCCTACCCCCTACTCCTGGCCGCATCGGCCGAATAGCTGAATGGGTTGCACCTTGAGCCTAAATTTGGAACTTAGCCCAGGGTCTTCAAATTGGGATTTTTTTTCCCTATGAAACCTGTGAATGAAACTTAGAGCTTTTCACCCCCTTACTGGTTATTTCTAGAACAAATACTATTCTATGTCCTTTCTCGGGACTCAAACTATCTCTACATCAACCTACCATCTAAATCGATTCAGCGGTTAAGACGTGAAGAGGTTACAGACAGAACTACTTTAATTCGTTGCATATTAGAGTTACTTAACGTAATAGTGAAACCCTATGTCCCAAAAAATGTACATAATAATGGTGTCGATTCTAGCATGATTCTCTAAACCTAAACTTAAATTTGACAGCAGTATATAGAGACTGATGTTAAATTTAGTTTTAAGTTTAGAGAATCACACCAGGATTGGCATAAATGAAGTATCACTGATATTGTCCGTAGGAGCACCGCACGCGTTGCTAGGCAAGACGCGGCGGCCGCGCACCGCGTTCACATCGCAGCAGCTGCTCGAGCTGGAGAAACAGTTCCGGATGAACAAGTATCTGTCCAGACCGAAGAGGTTCGAGGTCGCCACTAGCCTAATGCTGACTGAGACCCAGGTGTGTACAGCTTAAATTTTCTATTTAATTTTTTATGGGAACAAATTTCGAGACGGGCTCACGGATATACAGATAACATGTGAGACATAAATAATGCCAAATCTAGAGTAAGCTAGACGATGACTTTTTATAGCAAATTTTGCTTTTTATGTATCTAAAACTTCTGTAGCTATAGGCACCACAACAAGGCGGTCCAACAAGGCGGTCCCTTGAAAGGGATTATCTCTTATCTATTAGACAAGTCCGTCCGTCCGTCTGTGGTGCTGTTTCAGCGGCCAAACCGTAAGAGATAGATAAAGAGAATATTTAAGTTATAAGTTAAGAATGGCCTGATAAGACTACAAACCGGATTTGAGTAACGTAGCACTTCCGGTTTTCGAGAAATCACGAATTTCAAACGAAACCACACAAAATCTCCGAAGTCCTCAATTAATTAAATACATTTTTTTTTTTAATCAGGTTTTGGTGAACATTTGGTTCACTGGTTTGCTAGTTATTATTTTAATCTTATTATGTATTCGTCTTCTTCGAGCTAGTATTCATTCATAATATTATTATTACTGATCGGTATGACTGATGCCGGTATGACCACGATAATGTTCGACGTTCCAACTAGCATCGTACTCACTTCAACCAAAACAAATGTTAGCCATCGACTTTATAAATGCGCCATCAAAAAACAAACCTCTTTTTGACACTTGCCAAATGTCACAAAACACTTGTCACCATGAGGAATCCGCGGATTTACGTAACAAATCTAATGTGCTTCACGAAATTTACGAAATAGCAGGGAAAAATGAACCTTTTCGCGTACAGAAAAGGGGTGAATTGGGTGAAAAATGTATGTTTGCAACTTTAATGTGGGGACAAGATTATGGGGGCGGCAAAATGCACGCCATAAAGATTATTGCCTGGGGCGTTTATACGGGCTTAAATATATTAATCTTATTGCACCCTTACTTACTTGTCTGTTTAGAGTAATTGAAAGTGGTTTTAGTTAATCGGAAGTTTTAAGTTAAGGTTGAATATATTTATAGTAGTTTCTTTGCCATTTCTATTTAAAAATTTGGGCGCCAATATTGTGTTATTTGTCTTTTGAAGATGTTTTTTTTTAATTTAGGTATAAATACATGCATTACTTAATTGAATTATAACGGAAACATCATCGTTGGGGAAACACCTTAAATATCAATAGCTATATTAATACGTGAAAGAAACACTTTCCGTATCCGTTTTTAGCAATTTGTGTCATGGAAAACTGTGAAATATTGTATAATAAAAGTTTATATGCAGCAGGAGTGCAGAATGCTTATATTTTGGTTTTGATAATATATAACAAATACATTAAATTAATACAATAAACCTTCCACTTAGGTACAAAGCGTTTGACATACACACACTAGACAGAAGAATCCACAGAACTGAACTTAATAATCAAGTATGCAGTCGTGTGCTTGTCTGTATAATGCGATTCAAATAAGAATAGGAAAGCCTAGAAAGACCTCTATCTGTCAAATGTCGCTTGAAAAGTACGGTTTGCAAAAAAAAACTTGGAACCCAACTTGGAACAAAAAAAACCTTTTTTAGCACTCCGCTAATTCAAGAATAAAAACCAAACATTTGTTAACAAACAATAACAAATATTGATCATTAATATCGGTTGATACTTTTTTTTCACACTTTTGCATTGAATAGGCCGAAACTACTAGACCGATTTGAAAAATTCTTTCACGTTTAGAATCCTACATTATCCCTAATGAATATAGGGATAACATGCATTGATAAAGGACATCAATATCTACAAAAAAGTCTGCAATACCATATGTCTTACTATTATAGTTATGTCACAACTAAAGGTGCGGTGCTCCTGCGGGTTCACCCGGGTTAATTTGAGGAAAAAGGTTATATAGTGAGCCAAGCTTAAAATATGGGCATATACTGTCGTGGACTTTTTTATAGAACTTTTAAAGGGAAACAATTCCGCCATACGTGATTTTTCTGTAACTTTAATCATTTATGCAGCGCACGCAACGGAAGCTTACAAATGGAATATTTTTACCCGTTTTTGCAACATTTTACATAGATGATCCGCTCCTATTAGCGTGATGTCATTTAGCCTTCAACCTTCCTCAATAATTGCACTAAGACAAAAATATTTTTTTCAAATTGGACCACATTAGTTCCTGAGATTTGCGCGTTCAACCAAAAAAATGGTGCATGCGGTACAACGGGTCCTAAAGAACGCAACAAAATTTTAACTATCAGTTAAATATATTTTAATGGAAAGTTCATAATTATATAAAGTAATTAATTGGGTATATATATATATGATATTACTCTACTGAAGCTCTACACCGAAGCGAAGCGAGGGCGGGCCACTAGTAATTTATAATAATATAACTTGTTTTTTTTGTCACCAGGTGAAAATATGGTTCCAAAACCGACGCATGAAATGGAAACGTTCGAAAAAAGCGCAGCAGGACACAAAGAAGGACACCCACGCCCACCAGACGGAAGAAAAAAACAAACCCAAAGACCTCCCACAACCTGAACCCGAGAAAAACATGGCAGCCGCAGATTTGACAGCTGTCAAACCGCCCCCAATGCTGGATAGGGAGAGAATCATTGCGCTAGAAAGGGAGCGCGCGATAGCCGCCGCCAATTTTAATTCTAATTTGGAAAACAATAGAAGAGGGTTGGTTGTAATGAGTCAAGATGGCGCCCGACCGGGCATGGATATGTTTAGGCCGTACGTGGTATGAAAATAGAAGATATTTTTTATTGTGAACTCTTGTGGCACTCTCGCGGTTCTTTATATATTTTTATGTTGTTGTTTTTACTATTAAAATATAGATATTAATACAAATAAGTATATAAAGACATGAATTGTGTTCCGGAAACTTTTTTTAGTCTTTATTTCGAATGTGTGACCAAAAAACTCTAAATAACAGCTATTTTGTCCAGCAGAAGTATATCAGTTATTACATTTAAGATTTGATGTATATAGTTACAAACATAAAAATCCCCGAAGCATTGATTCCCTACCTACAGAATTATCCCCATTTTTAAGATTTTTCTGAGAAACTTTATGTTTTGTTAGCTTTCCTTTTCTTATAAATCTGAATGAAAGGTAAAAGTTATTATCAGGGCCGGATTTAGAAATGTAGGGGCCCTGAGGCAACAAAGGAATGAAGGCCCTTATTTTAAAATCTGGTACCCAAAGGCCACTAACGATTTGCGCATGGTTGGTGACCCGTTGAAATTTAATAATTATTTTTTCCTGTTTTATCCCACTTGTGGGCCATATAGCCCCGCCTGCCCTGCTTTAAATCCGGCCTTATACAATCACCTTACTATAGATATTAAACTGAGAATCAAAGCTGTAAATCTAAAGTACGACACAGATTGTTTTTGTATTTTTTTTCACTTGTACATATAAACGTAATAATCAAATAATTAATATTTAAACTGTAAGTAGTCTATATATATATATATATGATTAAATGAATAAACGGGAAAAGTGTATTATACTTAATTAGGTATACATCTATTTATGTTAAGTACCAAGAACTGATACAAGCCAAATTACCTATGTTGATAGCGATTAAGTGATAATTTTTAAATTTCTTCATATTTTTTCAAATCGAAATATGTTCCTTTAATTTAAGAATACTTTTGCTAGTGTCAAGTTTTCTTTTTGATTGCCGTTATATATCTATTTTTTACGCAGAAAACCATTTCATGATAAGTGATCACTCACGTTGCTTACCCCGAGGCGGCTATTTTTGAATGGCTCGACTTGAACAAATAATATCAACCACTAGTCAAACATAGAGTAATCGTCTAAATCAAACTTCATTTTTTTGTCAAAGTCAAAGTCAAAATATCTTTATTCAAATTGGATGCAAAATACAACTCTTTTGAATCGTCCATATTTTTCCCCTACCTCCAGTTAAGGACATTGGGCTGGATATTGTTAGGAAGTATTATCAGAATAATATACCTCCTTTAAATTACTATAATTTTTACGATAACATTAATCTGCTATCATAGTCCCTTAAGTTTTTTATTTTTTATGTGCCTTATTTATACTTATTATATAATAATATACTTATACTTATTTATGCTAATATGTTTAGTTGGTATTATTTAAAATAAAGGCATCTTACTATCAGTATTACATTTTTAGACTATAATTTAGTTTTTTACTTAATTATAGGAAATTGATTAGAATAAGACAAAATGACCCATAGATTGGATCCCTTGCACACAATCCAAATACAATGAATGATCCTTAATGCAGCTCTTATAGCTTAGTTCAATATTGTACTGATGTCCTTTAGAATTATTTAATTGAGAATAATTAGATTAAGCAAGTTCTTACATTTTCAAGCTTATTACATTTTATTTATTTTAAGCTAATAGATATGCTCTATTCTATTAATTTCAAAAATCTGAAGAGTTTGTTTAATGCAACGAGCCAATCTCAAGAAACTGCTGGTCTGCTTTGAAAAAATATTTTGTTGTATAATGCATGTATCGATGAGGACTATAAGGCTTTGTGACATAACACTAGACTACTAAGAGCTGAGCGCCAATGAAAAATATTGCGATAACGGGAAAAAAATGTACGCACTTGACGCACGGACCATACATCAGGGGGCCAATCGCCTGCCTGAATTGCTATGGCTATCGATACCGCTTACGTTTCCATTTTGTCATTTCTGACCGGCGAAGGTTTTCAAATGCTCCGCGCTCTTTTTTTCTAATGTATATTGGTGACAACAATATCAAAGAAAATGAGCGTAAAGTATTTGAAAACCTTGGGCGGTCAGTAATAAAATCATAAGCTATAGCGACAGCCATCGCCATTCCGTTAGGCGATTGCCCCTGAAGTGAAACTTCCACTCTTATATAACCTAACATAAGGCGGTGGTTAAAGCATAGGGGAGTGGAGCAGCGCACGCATCACTCATACGAGTATATATCGTCGCGTGTGACGCTCGTAGTGTTTAAGCCTTCACCAAGTTACTCTTCAACTTTTCTTTCTTTTTTTTCTTTTCTTTTATATTCGTCGGGAATACACATCTCATCAATCACACACACACACACATATATAATAGTCGTGTGACGCCGAAAAGAAGTTTCACTTCAAAACATTCCATATGTTAGCTTCAGTCGCGGGCGCTGCGTAAGAATAGTAAAATTTAAACGAAACTTATGTATTGCGGAATTGTTCCCCTTTGAAAGTTCTATTAAAAAAGTCCGTGACGGCATATGTCTATCTTTTAAAAGTGACCTACTATAACTATTTTCCTTAAATTAATGTGGGTGAAACCGCAGGGCACCTCTAGTATGAGTATAAAGGAAAGGATAACTTGTATAAATAATTCATAATACGTCACTAGAGTAAGTTGCTATGTATATCCTGTAAAAAGTCTCGTGTAATTATTCCTAAAGAAATAGTTGTAAAAGACATGATTATATTTATATTATGTAAAATAAGGAATTACAATTTATGATCATGAAACAAACGTTTTATAATTATGAATTGTAGTAAGCGAATGAAATGTGTATACTATAGAGTAAAACAAACTTGTATGTGCAGTTTAAGAGGCTAACTTAAAGGTGATAAAGGTTTCAACTCGATTTGAATAAATTTAAGGTATTTGATCTCAATAAGATCATGTGCGAGCGATATACATCCTAAAGTGGTGTACACCCAACTTCTTTGACTGCACGTACATAAATAGATCTCTTTTAAGTGTTTAATTTATGTGCAGTTTATAAAATATAGTCACTATGTTAAAAGTCTGGGTTTCTTTTCCTATCCCATTTTAATAGGCAGAATTTCTGCAATCAAATTTTAAAAGATTATATTCTGCTGCAATATATGTTCCTATATAGCAATCAAGCAAAATACTGCATTTATTTCTTTCTCCATCACTTAATTAGCTACATTTGTATGAAACATCTAAAATGAGTTATTTAGACGTATTCTTAAATTTGACATTGATCTGGTTACAAGTAAAATTTTACGAAAACTAAAATTACTTTACACGCTTCATTTCATAGAAAATTTATACAAAAAAAATCAACTTACCTCAGAAATCATATATAGGAATACAAGTGAAACATAAAACATCGATGTTTATCGAGCTGTTTCACAAATACACACCATCATTGTACCGGTAAACGGTGACAAATGCAGTGACACAGATTTTAATAAAAACTGATGAAACATTATTTAATAACTGTTAAATAAAGCAAATAAAAATCTATTTTATTTTCTACAGCAGCGGGAATCGTACGTCAGCGTCGTAGCGTATCGTAGCGTCTACATTCAAAATTCAAACGCATGGAAAAAGAACATTTAAAAAAAAACTTTGAAAAGAGGTCGGTCAGTCGCTTACAATCGATGTTTGAGAAAAAATACCTACTGGAATTACTAGAAAATTATTTAAAAAACCTACTAATTGTGAATCAGATTAGTAAACGAAGTGTTCCGTATTTTTTAAAATATTTAAAACAAAATTGAGCAAAAAATGTTGTAGTTTATGTGTAGATAGAGTTATTCCCTTTAATTGTTAAACTTGATTAACTATTGTAAAGCTACAAGACTCTTAAGTGTCTAGGTGCTTATTTAATGAACATTTTTGAGCGAATGCAAAGTTTTTTTTTCATTTGTGTTTACATTAGTTTTTACGTTCCAAACCCTTCACAGACTCAGTAACTAGGTTGTCATTGGTTGATAGTTAAACAACTTCCAATCATATTTTTGAAGAGAAAACTTCTTTAGCGGCGTTTCTTCGTACAATAAAATTAGAAAAGTTGTTGACTTTCAATATATTGGACGAAACATAGTAATGTTTTATTTTATCGTATTAAAATAATAAGTCTCTATCTAGGACGTCCAGGTGGCAGCTTTATTGCGAAGAAAATGCATTTTTTTAGAGGTAGATGTCGCTAGGTGCGCTTAAATGTGATTCATGTAAGTTGATTTTTCTGTAATAAATAAATATTGTATTCTACCACATAAATGATAGTACTTTTATACTGACAATTAAAGCAATTCCTGCAAAATTATTCCCTAACCATTCCAAAATATCAAAAGTGCACAACGTTTATATTCAAGTTTTCACTTCTGCCGGTACTCCCGGAGTGCAACATTTCGTTTTTTTTTTTGTTAAATAGATGTCAAGCAAGCTTAGATTGCTGTAAACGGCTACCACAGGCTACAGGCGCTTGCAATACCGTAGCCTGATAAAAAAACACAGCACAACCAGCAAAAGATAGTGTTCGCTGTGCTACAGAAGGTACGAGGAAGGAGAAACATCTTTAATTACAGTTATATTATATTCTAATAATTAAGCATATCGCACCTCCGGTGCGACACTGTCACTTATGGAAAAAAACATTTTTCAGGAGAAGCGTTTAAAACTTTAACATCCCAAAACATACAATATTTAAAGTTTATTTTTATTTTTTTAAGATGAATAGCTAAGCTGTATAAGCTTTTCATCACGTAAAAATCTTTAAATATTGTATGTTTGGGATATTAAAGTTTTAAACGCTCATCCTGAAAAAAAATTTTTTCATAAGTGACAGTGTCGCACCGGACGTGCGATATGTGTTAGTCTGCTTGTATTAATAAAGCTGTGTTGATGGTATGTAGATAAATAAATTATCTTCTCTAAATCATCAACTTTTCTTTCTTATTTTATTAAGTAAGCTTTACTAGCTTTTCGCTGACCCAGGTATACTTACTCCAGAATCAGAAGACAACAATTCATAAG